GCATTGCACACACACCTGCCCTGCACATAGTTTTGCAGCTTTAATTATTTGAAAATTCTCTCTTATTTAAATGGAAATTTGTCTACTGCAATCTTTGCCCACGACTCCTAGTTCTATCCAGAGCAATATAAAACAAGTCTGTGCCCTTTCAAATATGTGAATAGAACTTCTCCACTTCCTCCTCTGGGTCTTCTCCAGGCTCAATCCCCTCAGATCTACAATTATTCCTCCCCAAGATGGTTTCTGGACCAGTCAGCATCCTTGTGCCTCTTCTGTATGTGCTTGATATTCGATCAGTGATCTAACATTGTCAAGGGTTGCTTTTTACCATTCTCTGCCCTCTATTGTCAAACTACTTTCTGTACACGGAAACAGTGCAAATGAGTCAAGTTAGGTAAGGTTATCACCCACTTTTTGCAAACATCTCAACCACATAACCATTCCTTCTCCTTTACATACCGATCATAAGCTAAGATGTATTTGACAGAACAGAAAAATAACCAAAAAATAGCAAGCATAATTAGAACAAAAGAGACTTCATGCAATATTGACGCGTATGCCCCTCAGGTGATGAATGTCTTCTGTATATATACCCTGGTGCCTGTAGCTCGACCATGTTAAATATGCATTTCTAGAGAACTTATCTGTGATGTGTGTTTTCAGTTAGAACATGAGCTCATTGTTGGAACTCAATAAACGAAAACATTACCATTCTCTACCCCCTTTTATGTTATTTAGCCCTTAAAATAAACGGGAGCCTTGGTGATCCTGCTCAGTTTCATGGTTCTAAATACCATCTATATGCCAACGACTCCCAAATTTATATCTCTAGCCCAGACTATTTCCTGAACTCCAGACTCATTTATCCAACTGCCTGCTTGACAGCTCCTCTTGGATGTCTAATGGACATCTCAACCTCAGTACATCCAAACTGAACTCCTGATCTTCCCTCTCATGCCTTTTCCATCGCACTTCATGGCAGCTCCATCGTTCAAGTTGATCAAGCCAAAAATCTTTGGATTTATCTTTACATCCTTGCTTTCTCTCATACTAAGCAGAAACTCTGTTGACTACCTTCAAAATACGTCCAGAATCCGACTGCTTCTCCACCTTCACTGTTCCCACCCTGTCTCTCACCGAAATCACTATAATAGTCTTCTGAGTAGTCTCCCTACTTCTACTGTGTTCACCCTACAATCTATTCTCTCAGCAGCCAGAGTGATCCTTTTCATATGCAAGTTGGATCATGTCGAAAACCCTGTTACGGCTCCCCATTTCACACAGAAAAAAATAACAAACCAAAGTCCCTCCACTTGTAGGCATATATCCAAGAAATAAAAACATACACCCACACCAAGATGTGCTACACAAATGTTCATAGCAGCGTTATTTATAAGGGCCAAAACGTGTTAACAACCCACATGTCCATCAGCTAATGAATGGATGAACAAAATGTGGCATATCCACACAACGGTATGTTATTTGGCCATAAAAAGGAATGAAGCACCGGTACATGCTATAAGTGGACGAACCTTGAAAACGTTATAAGTCAAAGAAAGCAGATACAGAAGCTCAAATATTGCATGATTCCATTAACATGAAATGTCCAGAATAAGATAAAGCCATAGAGCCCGAGTGTAGATTAGTGGTTGCCAGGGGCTGGGAGGAGGGAAGAATGGGGTTTCTTTTGGGGGTGATGAAAATGTTCTGGAATTAGATAGTGGTGACAATTGCACAACTCTGTGAATATACTAAAAACCACTGAACTGTACACTTTAAAGGGGTGAATATTATGGTATACGAATTATATTTCAATTTTTTAAAAAAGGCAAAGTTCTCACAACGGCCTTCTGGATAGACTCGACATAATCTGCCCCTCCTGAGACCTCTCTGATTTCCTCTCCTCTTGTTCTCCCCTCAGCCTCTTTTCCAGTCAACCTGGACTCCTCGCTGTTCCTTGAACATGCCAGGCCTGCTCTCACCTTAGAGCCTTTGATCTTGTTCTCTCTGCTGGGAATGCTTTTCCCTCAGAGATCTCCAGACACCTGCTTGGTTAACTCCCTCACTTCCTGTATGTCTTGGCTCAAGTCTCACCTTTCAATGGGTGCCGACACTTTATTTAATACTACAACCTGCACCATCCCACTTCTAACACCTGCCCTCCTTTTCCCTTTTCTCCAGAACGTGTATCACCTTCTCATCGACTGTCTGACTTACTTCCGTGTGTGGTTTATGGTCTGTCTCTGCCCCTCCGCAGCCACACACACTCTGGAATCTAAGCTCTGTGAGGGTACGAATCTTTGCCTTTGTTCACTGGTGTCTCCCAGGTGCCCGGAACAGTGCCCCACACACAAGAGGCGCTTGAAAAGTATATGTCGAATGAATGAATTTTGTGTCTTGAGCTTCAAAAATGAGCCCTCTAAGTCAAGATTCAGAACAAGGTATTTTTGATTTAGAAAAAAGAAATGAGACTGAACTTATTTCAACTCAGAAAGCATCAAGTGCAAGTTACTAATCCTACATAATTGAAAAATAACGCTGAAAATTACCTCCTGTTTTGCAGTTTAATTTTTACAAACTAGTAGCCCGTTAAATTCTTTATTTTGCCAAAAATCTACTGCCTCACTCTTAGGAATATCTCCCATTTGAGACTTCCACGCTCTCCCTCTCCTCTCAAGGTGCAACCATTCCTCCAGCTGTTCCAGGCGAAGAGAATTTTGTCTGTTTTTCCAGACACATCAACAATACGCCCCACTTTCCCTTTGACCTATGGGGTGTATATATTGTTTACACTCTGATTGTTTATTTACTTTTCCATTAACAAAGTATAAGAGAGCCTTTTAAAGCAGTTTCTCAGAAGGCAAAAACAATGTAAATGATGTTTTATTATTATTGAGATAAAATTCACACAACATAAAGTTCACCCTTTGAAAGTATACAAGTTAGTAGCTTTTAGTACATTCACAGAATTGTGCAACCATCACTACAGTCAATTATAGAACATTTTCATCACTCCGAAAAGAAACTCACACCCTTTAATAGTCACTCCCCATCTCCCCCACCACCCTCATTCTAGGCACCACTAATCTACTTTCTGTTTCTATAGATTTGCCTATTCTGGATTTTTTTATATAAATGGAATCATACAACAGGTAGCCTTTTGTGTCTGGCTCCTTTCACTTTGTATAATGTTTCCAAGGTTCATCCACCTGTAGCACGTATCAGTACTTCATTCTTTTTCATGGTCGAATAACATTCATTGTATGGATATATCACATTTTGTTTATCCATTCATCAGTTGATGGACAGTTGGCTTGTTTCCACATTTTGGCTCTTATGAATAACGCTGCTATGAGCATTTGTGTACAAGTTTTTGTGTGGACGTATGTTTTCATTTCTCATGGGTCTATACCTAAAACTGGAATTGCTGGGTCGAATGGTAGCTATGTTTAACCTTTTGAGGAACTGCCTGACTGTTTTCCACAGTGGCTGCACTGTTTTGCATCCCCACCAGCAGTGTGTGAGGGCTCCCATTTCTCCCCGTCCTTGTCAACACTCAAAAAGCCTCAGAAACACTGTCTTTTGGATTATAGCTATCCTAGTAGGTGTGAAGTGGTATCTCACTGGGGTTTTGATTTGCATTTCCCTAATGACTAATGATGTTGAGCATCTTTTCATGTGCTTATTGGCCATTTGTATATCTTTGGAGAAATGTCTATTCAAATCCCGTGCCCATTTTTAAATTGGGTTGCTCATGTTTTTGCTGTTGAGTTGTAAGAGTTTTTAAAAAATTCTGGATATTAGGTCCTTATTAGATACATGATTTGTAAATATTTTCCTCCATTCCTCTCACTGATTTTTAATCCTAGCCACCCAATGACCTTCTGACCCCCAGCCCAGCTCCACCTCAGCATACTTAGTGGTGCCACTAGCTGCCCCAACTCAGCAACTGCAGCCAGGGTACACAACGGCACCTCGCAGTTTCCCCCTCACTTGTTAGTCAACCAAGGCTTCCTCAGCAGAGCTGGGGTCAGAAATGACCCCTCAGTAAACACGCACAAGTATGATCCGGTTCCCATTCATCGGTAATGGGGCCACCAGCGTTGGGTCAATTGTCTGCATAGCTCAGTCCAAGAGGCAGAGACAGCCAGTCTTCCAGGGCACAGTAGATGGCCGCTCCAGTGCCCATCAAAAGACCATCATTGATTTCTCTCATACGTGGAAGATAAACAAACACATAGATAAGGAGAACAGATTGGTGGTTACCAGAGGGGAAGAGGGTGGAGGGAGGGTGAAAGGGGTAAAGGGGCACATGTGTAAGGTGACGGACAAAAACTAGACTATTGGTGGTGAACACAATGCAGTCTATACAGACGCTGAAATACAATAATGTACACCCGAAATTTACACCTTATAAACCAATATGACCTTAATAAAATAATTAAAAACAAAAACAAGGGGCTGGCCCAGCGGTGTAGTGGTTAAGTTCGCACGCTCTGCTTCAGTGGCCTGGAGTTCACGGGTTTGGATCCCAGGCGTGGACCTACACATCGCTTATCAAGCCATGCTGTGGTGGCGTCCCACGTATAAAGTAGAGGAAGATGGGCAGGGCCAATATTTCTCAGCAAAAAGAGGAGGATTGGCAACAGATGTTAGCTCAGGGCTTATCTTCCTCCCCAAAAAACAAACAAAAAAACAAAACAAAACAAAAGACCATCATTGAGGGAGAATATATAGACACAAGCGTTTATCAGTTTTTAACTTTGAATGGGTATATAGTACTCATCAATGGAAATATGACTAAGAACATTAGTTAACAACTTGTTATTTATATGAGCAGTGAAACCCTTTTACCACAAAAAAAAATCTTTTTTTTTTACAAAATATATTTCAATAAGAGTGGAACTGCCTTGAGGAGGGGTGATGAGAGGGGCCCCTTGTCCTTTCCAGGGTCCCTGTTCTCTTGAGCTGGGCAACCCCTGCCACTCCTTGGAATATAGTCTGAAAACCAGTTGTTGACCAGGAAATTCTCTGTTAGTGAGAAAATTGTATTGTCACCCTATTTGTTGTAAAGTTTAAGAAAGAAATACTTTTCAAAGTATTTAAAGCCATATGTCAAGATATTAATAGTAGCTGCTGGTACTATGAGCATTTAACTTTTTTAATTTTGCTGTGGTTTCTTTCCCCCTTTCTTCCCACACTCTCCCATTAAGAATAGATTAACTACGTAATTGAAAAAGCAAGTGAGTGAGAGAAACAGTCCTCATAGCGCAGATTTAGGAAAAGCTCCTCCGTTGACGAGGCACACTCACACAGATTACCATCACCCTAGTAACGTCACCACCTTATTCAAATAGCAATGACTGGTATCAGTTATAAGCCCTGATGCCCTGTGTGGGCCATTCCAAGATCAGCAAATATTCAGAGCTTTCAGGCAAATTGAAAACATCAATTGAAAACAACAAGAACTATCATATAAAAGACACATCATCAAACCACTGTATATTAGCCTACCAAAACAAATTGTTTTACATCTAACAGCAAAGACTAGAGGAGGATAAAGACCAGATATTTGTTCCCTTTGGTCAAATGGTCCTTATTGAGCAAGTCAAGAAGACCAAGGTGATCCATGCCTGCTCACTCAGCTGATTCTCTTACTCTCCTCCCCTCTACATGTCTCCATAGCTCTTTACCATATGGGTTTGCAAATGTTCTCTTATTGTTTACAGTTTATTTGCTTTCCCTAAATGAAGGGTAAGTTGCATGAGGGCAGGGAGCAGAGGCCTAAGGGAACAACACAGTGCTATCTACACAAAGGCAAATGGCCAGGCTTGGTGACGTTCATCTCAATAGGAAACAGTTCCTCTGCATCTACCTCTAGGTTGCACTAGGAAGATAACTTTCTGTGCCCACCCTGGAGGAGCCTAATTTAGAGAATGCGACAGGCACATAAACTGTCATTTCAGTTGCACGGTGTAGATCCATGGGGCTCAAGACGGACCCCTAAAGGAACTATGGCCTTGAAAGGTAAGGAGGAGTTGACTTGTGTGAATTATCTGAGGGCAAGAGGGTGAAGTGAGCCCAGAGAAAGAGGGCCAACTAAGGCAGCCACTTGCTTCTCTATCAAGTCTCTTTGGAGGGAAATACTACAGAAGATCACTTTTATTAGTATAATAAAGTTCTAAGAGCCAACATTCTACTGGTGAAGGTTTTATGAGCAGGGAAATAAATGCATCCATCCAGTCATTTATTCACTCAATAAATGCCCCATGAGTACCTCCCATATGCAAGGCACTGTGCATTTACATACATTGTACAGGAGTAGAGATGTGCCTGGAATGCTCTCCTCCTAGCTCTGCCTGGCTAATTTCATCATAGCTTTTTGATTGTCAGATGTTTTCTGGTTTATTTATTATCTGTCTCCCCCAATTAGAATGTAAGATCTATGAGAGCAGGAAGCTTGTCTTAATTGTACTCAAGCACCTAGAACCATGAAAGGCACAGAGGCACAGGCTCAATAAACCTTTGTGGAATTAACAAATTAATTCATGAATATGAATATTATATATCCCAATAGAAAATGCCTACACACAGCTCTAAGAGATATAGAGCTTTGTATGACAAGAAGTCACTAATGAGTATGCACTTTTATTAATAGAGATAACATATTTTAATGCAGTAAAATAAAACTCTCCTTTTAAGTAAACAGATACTGAAAACATTACAATGGTATTTGTCAACATAATGGTGACTTTTGCCTTAATTTCTGTATCTCCACAGGTGCCATCAAGGTTAAAAAAAACAACTATCAAAAGCTGAATGATAGGTTCAACTTTAGTAATCATTTTTACACTGTTCTACTTGAGTATATAAACAATAAATTAGGAAGCCAATACAGGAATGGGCTTTGGCTCTCTTGAAAATGCTTTTAGCTAAAGAGTAACAGAATCTATCTTGAAATTCCTGAGCCAGTTATCACATCAAATATATACTATATATCTATATGAGAGAGAGAGATAAATAAAGAGAGAGAGAGAGAGAAATAGAGAGACAGAGATTGGGAGTGGGGAGAGACACCCCGTATGAAATTGTGCTGGGGAATCCAGAAGGAAATGAGCATCTGAAAGAAACAGAGATGATTTCCAATTTGGCACCAATAGGCAGGAAATTATTAAACACAGCACGAAGGCCACCTTGTCCATCAGGAGACGGAGAACGAAGACTGTGGAGTCAAAATGGCGCTACGCTTTGTACCACAGTGGTTTTCCAAGCATTAACCTTCTGCCAGCCCTTGCCAACTCTTCCCCTGTAACTTGAATCCATCGTTTTCTCTTCATGTCCACCTGATCCAGATTCCCAGTTACTCCAATCTTGACTATTATAAGAGCCTAATTCATCTCCCTTCTGTCTAATCTATTAGCAGCGCCAGACTCTCAGTCCTTAAAATCCTTCAGGGAACTGCCCCTGCCCTCAAGCTCTAAGCCTGGGTGTCAAGGTCCCCTCCAATCAGACCCACCTTCCCAACACAGTCCCCTGGGCTGAGCAACCCAAACTCTGAATAATCAGAATGCGTGACCTGGAACACTCTCCAGCTACTCGAGCTCATCAGAATCCTACTGGTTCTTTAAAGGCCTAAGTCGAACCGCATTTCTTCCCTGAAGACTCTCCCTCACTCTAACCCACTGTGACCTCCAGTTCCTTTGAGCTCCTATAGAATTCCTTCCTGGTACTATTCTCTTGGCGTATATCCATAGCCTACATTTTGCATCTGTTTAATTGTGCACATTTTATTCTTTCCAACTAGATCTTGGATTCCTAAAAAAACAGGGACTAGATTATATCCCCCTCACAGAGGGTAGCACAGTGCTATACACGTTGTAGGTAGGCAGTAAAAAAGTTTTAATTAATTGTTTAAGTCATCTGGGTTGGTATGTGTTGCAATAGGGCTTTAGGTTGTCCATTTCATCAGAATAAACATGCATGGTGACAATGCCAATCAATCAAGGATAAACAGAAGTATATGTTTTTACAAGTCTTTGTGGTAGTTTTTAAATGCTTGGCTACTACAAAGGTCACTTAAAGATGCTACCAGATACTCTTAGCTGTGCCTAGCCCCACCTGGAATTCAGGTAACCATAAAAAACGTGGTTTGATTCTGGAGTAAAGGATAACTCTGATTATGTCATGATAGCTCTCACTACAGGTAGGGAATATTAATAATACATACTAAACATTAATAATACATACTAAATGCCTGAAGACTATGCCAATCAATTCAGCTACCCACCTTCCCTCCCTTATCTAATGGATAACACCAAAGAAAATTGAACCACAAAATCTCCACATTAAAGCCAAGTTAATGGCTTGATTTTAATTGAGATGAGAGGCAAGGCAGATCATCCCTTCCTGACATTCTCCCGTGAGGAACATTGTTTGTCTGTATGCCACACACAGAAGCACAGCAGAACGGCTAAACGTAGGATTTCTGCATTAGAAATCTGGTGTTGGTGCTAAACTAGGGGGCCATGCTGGTGGGAGCAGACGGGAGGTCATTTAAGTTTCAGCCAGAGTCCCTTCTTCATGACCCAGTTGGGGAAAGATCTTACAGCACAGACACCTTCTCTTTCCACCCCAGCCGATGTTAAAAAACAAAACAATACACACACACACACTTTATATATATATATAGATGACATATGTATATATATATTAAAATACATGTATTTAAAAATATATATACATACTTAAAAATAACTACTTTAGCAACTAGCTTCACTTGCTAAAGCAATAAAAAGTATTTCCTCTGCAAGAACCCTTAATGTAACAGTCCAGATGCAAACAGCTAAAGAAGCATAGCTAGCAAAAAACCAAACCAAACCACAATGTAGAACTGGGCTTTGATCCGCACTTCTACCGCCAGACTTCATAACTTTTTAATAAACAGAAACATCACTCAACTCAGTAACAAGGGCCTCTCCCTCTCTCTCTTTCTTTAAGACGTAAGCATTTCAAACAGTAACTTTCTAAGCCCAAATTCCCTCTTTTGGTAAACAGCTTCCTTCTTTCAGCAAAAGCCTCCTTCTTTTCCCTAACCTCTTCAGGTTTTCATAAAAACGGCGCGTGACTCCTGGGACATTTTGTAATGAGGTTCCACTCTTGGGAGAATGAAATACGACTACCCTGATGGGCTGCCACCTGCTCTATAAAAAGGATGCCCTGAAATGAGGTAACTGCTCTCTTGTGAGGAGAGTGCGGGGCAGTGGGTCCTCAGAAGCAATGAGGTATCTGGTAAGGAGACAGAGCGGATGTGGGTATTGCCCCTCCCTCTCCTTCTCCAGACCAATGACCTCTTCTGCTTGGGTGGCTGTCAGTAATCAGGAAAGGTGGTTTATGTTAACTCCCCAGTGCTCTGTTTTCTCTCCAACAGTCGTTAGAGAAGGGGTCTCCGTGGAAGATAAAAATACCCTCATGATGGAAGGATGGGGAAGGGTAAAAGGCAGAAATGAAATGGGTTGGAAGTTCTGGTAATTCCAAATCATTAGAAAGGAATTTAAAGAATTCTAGGTTGGTGCTACCTGCTCCCACCCTCTACCTCTCTTCCTGGGAAAGTTCAAAGGTATAGGTGACTCCATAGGTCAAAGGGCAAAGGCTTCAGGGGTGTTCAATCTGGTCCTCATTTACATTTCACAAAGATCCTGGATCTAACACATGATTTAAGCCATAATTAAAGGCAGGGGCCACTGGTGTGAGAGCCATTGCCAACCAATTTTAGGCCATACTGATTAAAATATCAGCCTGGTGGGACCTCTTAGGAATTTAGATCCAGTGGTTTCTGTCTTAGAGCCAACATAGGGAGAAAGAACTGGGAAATAGAGGCCTCTTTTTATTTGCAAACACTCAAGTACCAAACACTGATGTGTTCCAGCAATAGAGGAAAACTCTTTTCTCAAGGAACCAGATTTTCATCTCAAATTCTCACAGCAACCAAAACCCGTATTTTAAGAAATGATGCATACCAGGCATTACTACCTCTGCAAAACACTCCATGAAGTACCATCCTAGTCATTAAACTGAAAACACAGAATAAATAGATTGTATCATCTTTTTTTGTTTGTTTTTGGTGAGGAAGATTGGCCCTGAGCCAACATCTGTGCCAATCTTCCTCTATTTTTTATGTGGGACGCCACCACAACATGGCTTGATGAGCAGTGCAGAGGTCCATGCCTGGGATCTGAACCCGTGAACCCCGGGGCCAACAAAGCAGAGCGTGTGAACTTAACCACTATGGGCCGGCCCCATCAACGTGTTTTTTTGAATATGCATTTTAGCTCCTGGTGTTTATTTCCTACATTTAGTTGTGCTCCTCTCATCTTAGAGATACAGGAACTGGCAGAAGTTTGAGGAAAGACTAGAAAGGGTGGGGTTGGCATGATTAAATGTGGGCAGAGTCTGTGTATGTTTTCTAGAGGAGGAAGAGGTAATGATTTTGAAAGCTCTGTGGCCAAGCAGCAATAAAACATCACTAATGAGGAATGAATTATTTAAAAAAATCATTACGGGGAAGCCGACAACAAACCCCAGAACACAATATCTCCAAGTAGAAAATGAGTCAAATGGATTCGCCTCTGAGGTGTCTGTACACAGCAGAATCCCATATTTACCCACCTCCAGTTTCCTGCAACAGAGTCACACTACACTCACAGGACACAGAACAGTCCTGTTTCCCCTTCCTCTTCTCCCTTTAGTCACAATCCAGACAGGCTGTTGGTCCCCAGAGGTGAGTGCGCTAACAGTAGCTGCAGTACAGGGGACTGGGGAATATGCTGGACTCCCAGGTCTCGGGACCAGGTGATCTAGAGTAATTTCTGTGACCACTGACTGTGTAGTCCCAGGAAGTCCTCGAGGAACTGACCCGTGAACTTCCCAATGGTCCAATACCTTCGGGTCCATGACTTTGCTTCTGTGATCCTCCTGAGCATTCTAGCCCCCAGCTGCCTTTTCCAGCCAGGAAGAAATAAAGTCCATAGGGTAATGATGTATATCCATGGGAGACACAGATATCATGGGAATCTTCAGGGCCACACCATTGAACAAATCCCGACTCCACCGCTTCTCAGCTGTGAGATCTGGCAAGTTGCTTAAACTCTCTGAGCCTCAGCTGTCTCTTCCATAAAATGAGAATAATAATCCCTTCCTCATGGGATGTGTGAGGACTAGATATGGTAATGTATGTAATGGGTTGAGCACAGGGAATAAATCGGAGCTGATATCGCTCTTATTGACCTATGCCAGCATGCAAATGCACTGGGTCCTTCTGACAAGCGCACCATTGGGAAGGCACCAGTGGAGGACAGATAGAATTTCCTCAGCGGTCATTTGACCCATCTCATATTGCTTGCTATCCATTTCTCCATTCTGTTCTACTTATGTGTGTGTGTGTTTTGCATCAAGCCTTGTCTCCCCGACCCGGTCACAGACTTTGGGCAGGAGTTGTCTTTCTGTGTCCTGCAGAACCTGCCTGCCTCAGCAGCTAGGACTCATTAATCCATTTGCACTGACTCCTTCAGAGGAGGCAGCAGGGTAAAGACTGAGCGTGCAGCCTCTAAAGTCAATCCACCTGGAGCTCCAACCCCAGCCCTTAAGGACTTCGGGCAGCTAACTTCACTTCCTGTGCCTCTGCCTCCTCTTATGGATACTGTGAGCACAAAACAAGATGGTATCTGTAAAGTGCATATTAGAAGGGAGACAGACCTTTGAAAGCCACTTAATAAATGTTGACTGTTACTACAAACACGGTAGGTACACGGCAAATACAAGGTGAAGACGTACTGAAGGAATCCACTGCCATGACCATCACTTCCTCCTACTCTTTCCAAGGAGGAGTCTATTTCTGGCTTTGATTTGCTGGCTGAAATAATAATGTAAAATATGCCTAGTCTACATTTTTAAGAAGTTATTGCCAAAAAAAAAAAGTTGTTATTGTAAAATTTACCTTTAAAACATTTTGGAGATTAACTTTTTTTCTTTCTTTTTTTATTACATACATATATTACATACATATATGGGTGAGGAAGACTGGCCCTGAGCTAACATCTGTGCCAGTCTTCCCCTATTTTGTATGCAGGACACCACCACAGCATGGCTTGATGAGTGGTGTAGGTCCACGCCCAGTATCCGAACTTGCGAACCCCAGATCACCGAAGTGGAGCGTGCAAACTTAACCACTATGCCACTGGGCAGGCCCTGAGATTAACTTTTAAAAAATATTATCTAGGGAAAGCAAAAGCGTCCATGTAACAGCATTCTTTCAGTATGTCTTGAAGTCACTCCATTCAATCAGATTTTGATATAGCTCACTCCATCCTCAACAGTATTCCTGAGGAATAGGTAGATTTGTAGTTTCCCAAGATTCTTTCACCTTTACCAGTCAAAATCTCCTGTCTTCAAGACATCTAAAATTAAATTCCTGAGGCAATAGTGAAATCATATGAATATCTGCATTCCATCTCCATTAAAACATCGTCCCTGTCTGGGGAGTGTGCCACTCAGACACCATTCTCGCAACCAACACTTCTGAGACCACAGATGCAATTGGAAGATGGAGCACAGAGCTCTCAGCTTCCCTGAGAACCACTGGGCAGTGTCCCCGGGGAGGCTCGGCTCAGTTCTAGTCAAGGCTTTAAGCAGCTCAAGGTAATTGGAACGAAATATGGGTATTAATTTCTTTCCTCCTCACTGAGTTTCTCTCAACAAATTACCACTGCCCATTGTTGGCTGAGCACTCCAGCTTGTCACTGCATGCTTGCTCAACACATTATTAGCTGATCTGATTGGTTATAAGATTGGGAAAACTGAGCTGAATTTCTGAGAAAGCAGAACCAAAGAGTCAGTCCAGAGTTTAGCACATTACCCCCCTAAGCAATCCAGGCTTCTAACTCGGATTCCCAAGAATTAAGGTAAGAATACTTTTTCTTGAATGTCTGCTTAGTCATGACAAGGAAGACAGCTGTTGGATGCTTCATGTCCTCAGTGAGTGGACAGGCTCTTGGTTTCCATTCAGATTGTCTCATGACAATGAAAGGAACTACACCCTAGAGCTGCAGAGCTGGGTCTTCTCCAACTCTCCCAGGCAGAGAGAACTGCTTTCCTTAGGAGCCCATCAACCTTGCCTCTTTCTCTCTAAGGGCGTTTGCTGGGATATTTGATTTTGGCAACTCTTGTTTTCAAGATTTTTTGCATGTCTGACTCCCCTACTTCTCAGAAGCAGGGGCCTGCTTCTGTCTTCTCCATCTTTGTAACTCTTGTTCTGAGTGCAGAAGTTTTCAAGAAAAGCCTGTTGAATGGATCTGGGCCTTGGTGGTCAAAATAACTGTAGAGAGGGTGGCATCATTTGGGAGCTGTGTATATGCTCCCACACAGACGCCATGGCTCCATGCTCCCTGCTGCTGGAAGAAAAGGCAGCTGGCACCTCTCCATATTGTCTGCATTTCTTTCACAAAATATATACCTTTTTCTCACAACTTTTCTTTACCAAATGACTTTTCAAGAACCTTCCCACACTGGAATTCCCTGAAGTATTTTTTTTCTGTACTCCAAGGCAGGGGGCAAACTTTCAGCAAAGAGCTAAGTGGTAAATGTCTTAAGTTATATGGTCTCTGTCCAGCTCCTCAACTCCAATGTTGCAATGCAAAATCAGCCACAGACAACTCGTAAACAAATAGTGCTGGCTGCGTTACAATAAAACTTTATTTACAAAAGCAGGCGGCTTTGGGCTAGAATTGCTAACCCTTGATCTAAAAGAAAAACGATCCAGAGAGAACATGATAAACTATTCTGCTATAAGAAAATTCTGGAGACAACGAATGTAGGGCCTTCCTTGACTTCCTCATTCTACCATAGGTCACAGGCAGAAAAAAAAATTAGGAAGATGGGCAGAGACCTTGAATCGTAGATTTTACATTAGGCTGCAACCTGAATCTCAAATCCACATTTCAGAGACTTTCATCCTTTTATGTGCTATAACAGAGAACAGGAACCTAGCCCCAGATCTGCAGTATCGGGTTTTTATCTCATTCCTGCGGCTCTTTCTGGTTTTGCTGCTTTCTTTAGAACTTACTTCTTTTTCCAGTTCGGGTGACCCCAAAGTATCCATTAATTCTTTTACTGACTCAGTCCATCCTAAGGTCCTTTATGGCAAGGTCATACTCACTCCTATATTTCACCCCATCCTCCTAGGGACTAGCACTGCCTTGCACCTAGAAGATGCGCTATGTATGCAGTGGAATCAATGTCACTGTTGTCTCAAGACACTGTTGTCTTTCGGCTTTGTTGACTCCACGTCTCAGTACATTCCAAAGCAGATAAGGCTGAACACAGGTCAGATAACATAAACCTGGGACTCCAACCACTGGTCTGAAGGCAGGCTAGAAAGATTCAAAAAATAGCTGGGTGGGGATGGAAGAGGAGTTAGAAACCCAACCTGGAAAAAATAAAACCACAAGAGGGGAGATGAGTGGACAGCTGGACTTAACTAGAAACATAACCGACGAGCTCACTTCAGTTTGGTGTTTTTCCAGCACGCAGGATGGAAATAATTGGCTGTTTGCAAACAAAAATGCAGAAAGAGGAAATGCTCAACCTAAAGCTATAATTAGTTTGTCAATGCTGTGCATCTATGATGTGCGTACAAAGAGAAATGCATTCCTGCTGAAGTGGCTTCCTCTCCCGTCTCTGCCTTCTCCCATGGGCTTGAAGAATAAAAGGCAAATCGCAGGGAGGCGTCAGTAGCCATTTTGCAAGCCTGATTCACGACATGTCCTATCAACTGAGCTGTAAGGCCACGAATAGTTTCATCATCAACCGTTCCAAACACGGATGGAACTAATAACCCCAGGAAAATTATAGTATAGGGAGATTTAAGCCTATGCCCTTATTTGCAGGCTAAGAATGCTAACATCTCTCCTAACGGGGCTTGCGTCATATTTGATGAATGTTCAAACATGATGGTACCAGTAGCAGTTTCTCTGAAAATTGCAGCGATTACTCATTAGTAAATGAGGGCCCTCGGGCAAAGGATCTGGTCAGAAGACTGAGGACCATGTTGCCAACAGATGCAACAAATTAATCCTGAAAGTTTGGCGCTCAGACTGGGGATTAAAGTGCTGCAATTAACATTTACATGTACAAGATCCTATCTATTACGACTCTTAAAGAATTTGTTTGACCTTTCCATTGTCAAGCTGTCTACCCTAGACCAAAAGAAATTAAAAGCGCAGGAAGATGTTGCTGTTTGCCTTCACGAGCACAGCTGGAGAGAGAGACTGGAAACAAAAATGCGGCTGGCATGCTGCACCCCGAGCGGGGGACTTAGAGGTAGATCAGTCACTGATCAGTGGACCTTGTGCAGATGAAGCAACTATCTAGTTCCTCTTCCTAACCTCTGGAACAGCAATACTCTAGTAAGGCTGCTTCCTTCTTCAGAGGTTTCCTGTCAGCTAACTAGCTGGTGTCTTTGCACCCCTCTAAACATGGCATGGGTGGTGTCTTTCTATGACCTGGAGCAGAGCCTAGTGTTAAGACATAGGGCTTGGGAACCACACTGCCTGGGTTTGAGGGGACTCTGTCACTCACTGTCTGACCGTAGGCAAGAGCTGCAATTTCTTTGCATCTCGGTTGCATCATTTGTAAAATTAATAGGTGAGGATTAAATGTGTTGAATCATGTGAAAGCCCTTAGAACATTTCCTGGCCCATAGTAAGCACTCAAAAAATATTAACTGGCATTACTTCTGTAAATGTCCACGGGGAAAACTCAGGTATTTATATAATACCTTAAAAACATGAAAAAAATTGGCACTTTCAAGAAAAGGAGGAGATGCACATACCTATGACTTAGCAATTCCATTGTTACCCTGGAGAAACTCACATATGTGAACAAGGGGACACAATCAACAACGTTCACTGCAGCAATGTTTGCAAGAACAAAATATTGGAATGAGCACCAGTGGGAGAGTAGATAAATAAGTTGCGAAATTTCCATATAATAGAATACTATTAAAATGGACGAATCCCCAAAACACAATATTGAATGAGAAAATAAATGTTGCAACTTACAGTATAAAACTTATAGTATGATACCATTTATAAAGGCTTAAAAATGTAAAACAATATTCCATATTGCTTACAGACACGTGCCTGTCACAAAAGTATAAAAACACTGCACTCAAATAATAAGTATCATATTTAGAATAATAGCTATATCTGGAGAGAAAAGAGGAATGAGATAGAAGAAGGGAATGCAGAGGGCTTCAACTATTCTGTGATGTTTTATTTCCTTAAAAAAATGATCAGAAAAAAATGACAAAATATTAAGATTTAATAAAAGTCATATCATTCTATTTACATTTTGCATGCATAAAATATTGCTTAATTTGAAAAAAATTCTGAGTTGTACTTTTGTTTCGATTTCTAATATTTGTCCTTTGTGATGTTCTGTGAGCGTAAGGTCACATGTATGAATATAGTTTATTTTTTCTCCTCTATCTTCCTTTTCTGGGACAGTTCACTGTAAAAAGCTTTCCTTATTATAACTCCAAATGGACTAAAAATTCTCATTTTAGCATTACTAACCAACATGGTACATTAATGACATGTTTAGATAATGGATTGTTCTCTCATTAAAAAGCATTTATGTAGCCCCTTGAGTCTGTGTAGCTCTGTGATAACAAGGTTACATTGAAAAGCAGACCAGCTATTGTAGCTTCATTAAAATTTAAAATATTTTGGTAACTTAGTTCATATTTTACAATAATAGAATTTTAGAGTTCTTAAAAATCACTAAGAAAAACCCAAATACTCTAATTGGAAGGATGAACGAAAGACACAGGAAAATTTTAGTAGAAGAATTTAAATGACTGATGAACACAGGAGAAACATTCTGCCAAATGAGCAATAAAATGGACAAAATTTAAAATGAGATATCATTTTAAACTATCACATAGGCAAAGATAATATTCAGTATCGGCATAGGTTCAGGAAACTGGACACTCACATTCTGCTGGTGGATAATTTGGCATTATGTGTGAAGTGCCTTAAAAATACCAATATACTTTGACCTAATGATTCTCCTTTTAGGATTACATACGAAGGGAATAACCTGAGATGTGCACAAAGATTTATGTGCAAAGGTATTCACTGCAGCATCATTTATCACAGCAAAACACCTAAATATACAATAGGGTATTCATTAAATAAAATATTATCCACACAATGTAATAATCTGCAGTTTTCATATATATTTATTTTTCGATTTATATTAAATGACATGGACAAATATTCAAGAGATAACGTTAGTGGAGAAAACAGGATACAACGCTGCGTATACATAGGAATCCAATTCTGTAAAATAACTGTACGTGCATTGGAAAATGATTGGAGGGAAACACACTAAAAAGCTACTAGTAATTATCTCTGACTTCTGAAATCATGGGTGTCTTCTTTCTTGTACCTTTATACATTTTTCAAATATTTTTCAATGGCCCTGTTTTTTTTGGTGAGGAAGATTGGCTCTGAGCTAACTTGTTGTCAATCCTCCTCTTTTTGCTGAGAAAGATTGGTTCTGAGCTAACATCTGTGCCCATCTTCCTCTATTTTGTATATGGGACGCCGCCACAGCCACAGCATGGCCTGATGAGCAGTGTGTAGGTCCGCGCTGGGGATCCAAACCCACAAACCCTGGGCCGCCGAAGCTGAAGTGCATGAACTTAACCACTATGCCACTGGGCCAGCCCCAATGGCCTTGTTTTATAATGAGAATAAAACACAAATTATCAGGTAATTTACAGAAATGGAGATCTAGGAAGGATCTCTTTATTTTTATAGATGGGGAGAGGTGAAGTGAAGGTCTCACTGCTGCTGAGTGGTTGCATCCCCTCCCTGGCCTGGGCAGCCAGGGCCTGAGGGAGACCCAGGGAAGAGCCGCAAGGTCTCTGCTGAGCCCCATGGTCCTGGCAGCACAGAACTGCCCGGCTCCGTGAACAAGCGCTCCAGAACTGCCCACACCCTCGCACTTCTTGCATATTCATCCATCTGTATCCAATTGGGCTCATCTCAACGATTGGGAGAAGAAGGCAGCTAAAGAGAGATTTCATTTCTCTCGGCATAACCGCCTTAAGCATTTGTTTATAATGTAAGCTGCAACTGTAAGTAGAAAATAACCTAGCATAGTTCTTAAAAAGTGATAGATGTTCAGAGGTTCAGAAATACTTAAATTCAATTAAAATCATGCGAGGAGTAGAGGCGAGAGATGGGATACCAATGCAAATATGATACAGAGCCAGCCTCGAGCAGAGCAGACGCGCAAACAGGAGACCAGCGAGGAGAGGGCAGAGGGCTCCCTAGCAGCTGGTTGATGAACAAGTATTTAATTTTCAGGTGTTTTAAAAAACCATACGCACAACACCCAGCGCTTATTTCTCCTTGAACTCAAATGTTCCTCCCAAATAAGTTTGTTATAATCTACAGTTGAGAGTCTAGTTTTACAGAGTGGTTACGAGATATCTAGGCATTTATCCATGTGGGAAAACAAAGCCCAACTTGAGAGTTATTTTCATTTAAAGAGAGTTCCCACAATTCTTACAATAGAAAGGAGAGAAAAAAGGAGAAAGAAAAAAAGACTGTTGTGGGGTGGGGGCACCCTTCTCTTCGATTGCTGGTGCTCTCCTGATAGAGAACTGGGGCAGTTTCTAGGGCAGATCAGATCCTTTCCATTGGGGCCTCAATAGTTTTCTCAATGTTTGCCCGAAGCAGGAGCTGGCTGACAAAGTGCATTGTATGAAGTCTCCCAATGGAAAGTATCAAAGGAAAATACTACGTTTTGTTCAGCCAGGGCTTTCCTGCTCTGTTATTGATGCCTTTGAGTACCTCAGAAGGAGACAAAGGGAAGAAAACCCATTGGACCAAAATACGCCTTTTTTCCCCTTTCCATTCACGTAACAAGATGTGCAGAGAGAAGCATGAATGCATTTGGAAAGGGCTGCTAAGGCCAAAACTGAGCCATATTTTATTTCTATCCTTCTTCAGATTTACCTCCCTCGATACTCAAAGACACAGACACAGAACCACTTAGATGGAAAGTAAGAAGAGAGTCTCGAATTCGGCTGAACTGCTTGAATGAAGCCAGGCTAATTAACATACAGACTATAAGGTTATGGCAAGAAATATAAAAGGGAAAGACAAGGAGACTCTCCTCTGTAAAGTGCAGAAAAGCAACTCCCTTCTTCACTCATAAAACTTCTAGCAGCTCAAAACGGAGGCCCGGGATCTTGTTAAAAATCCAATTTCAAACTATTTGGGTAGGTTGAATCATCCTACTTCAACTGATGGGCCTTCCTTCAGCTCACATCTTCACGTTGGTGTGAGTTTCAGCTCCCTAACAGGGGACATCACTCAGCCCAGAGCTGACCCAGCCTGCCCGGCCCAAGCCCTTGACTGGGTTTGTGGGCCATGCGAAGCTGGTACATGATGAGGATGTTCACTATAATTTTTATTTATACAATTTCAAAATGATACCATTCCCACACTGAAGTAAACTAGGGCTGTTACTACATCAGCATATAGAAGGAAAGCAATCAACATATTTTAACTTAATGTACATAATTATTTCAACTTCCTCCAAGGTCCTTGGGCCTCAGTTTCATCATTCATAAATTGAGGACTTGTTAGAATCTCAAGTTGTCCCCTATAGTTTGTTATTCTGATGGCAGACAAGGTAGAATCCAGGGCAAAAAGCACTAAACAAGACAAATGACATGGTAATACTAAAACCCACAACTCATAGCAAAAGTATAACATTTATGAATATTTTTGCACCAAACACATAGCCACCACTTTGAAAAAACAAAATTGCGTGAGCTGCAAGGAGAAACAGACTGAAACACACTAATAACGGAGACTTGAACCCAGGGCCGGGACTAGGGTGAGGTTAGTGAGGCACTTTTCAGACACACAATTTAAGGGAGTGCCAAAAACTTAGGAACCAAGATAAATAATACGTTAATGCAATATTTTAAAAAGTAAAAATTAATGCAAATGATCCATGATGAATAAAATATGAAAATTTCAAATAAAGACAGGATCCGTATTACTGATTTTCCCTTTAGCCTCAGTCTCTGACATACCACAGCATGGCACCGGCACTGCTGTAACCTGCCTCTCTCAGTCCAAGACGACTCAAGAAGACAAAATAATAAGTAAGGCTATAGGAGACCCAAACAACATGATCAATGAGACAGATCTTCTAGTGTGCTGAGAAAACTAGATATCCACATGCAAAAGAATGTGTTGGACATCTACTTCACACCATAGACAAAAGTTAACTCCAAATGGATAAACAGCCTAAAGATAAGAATTAAAACCATAAAACTCTTAGGAGAAAACATACGGGTAAATCTTCATGACCTAGGATTTGGCAATGGATTCTTAGATATGACACTAAAGGCACGAGCAACAAAAGAAAAAATAGATAAACTGTATTTTATCTAAATTAAAGTTTTTGCATCATAGACATTTGCATCATAGAAAAGACAATGTACGCAAGGGGAGAAAACATTTACAATTCATATATCTGATAATATCCAGATGATATCTTCATACTCAACAACAAAAAGACAATTTAAAAATGAGCAAAGGACTTGAATAGACATTTCTCCAACGAAGATATACAAATGGCCAATAAGCACATGAAGAGATGCTCAGCATCATTAGTCATCAGGGAAATGCAAATCAAAAAACCACAATGAGATACCACTTCATACCTATGAGGATGGCTATAATTTAAAAAACAAACAAACCAACAAAAGCAGAAAATAACAAGTGTTGGTGAAGATATGGAGAAACTGGAATATGCTTTGCTGCTGGGAATTTGAAATGATGCAGCCTGTGTAGAAAACAGTTGAACAGTTCCTCAAAAAGCCAAACATAGAATTACCATTTGACCCAGCAATTCTACTCCTAGGTATATAGCCAAAAGAACTGAAAATCAGGGACTCAAACAGAGTCCCTTGTATATATATATGGAATATTATTCCAAAAGAATATTATTCAGCCATAAAAAGAAATGAAGTTCTGATACATGCTACAACTTGGCTGGACCTTGAAAACATTACATTAAGTGAAAGAAACAAGACACAAAAGGATGAATACTGAATGATTCCATCTATATGAAGTATCTAGAAAAGGCTAATTCATAGAGACAGAAAGTAGAATAGTGGTTACCAGGAGCTGGTTAGAATGGGGAATGCAGAGTTATTGCTTAATGGTTACAGAGTTTCTGTTTGAAGTGATGAAAATGTTTTGGAAACAGATATTGGTGATAGTCGCACAACATTGTGAATGTCATTAATGCCACTGAATTATAAAAATGGTTAAAATGGCAGATTTTATATTATATATATTTTATCACAATTTTTTTAAAAAACATAGATCTTCTGGGTGCATATTATACTTTGCACCCAGAAAATAGAGAATACACCTTCCTCTCAAATGCACTTCATTAAAATTGACTGTACATTAATTCATAAAGAAAACCTCATAAATTTCATAAAGTAGAAATAATAAAAACATTATCTGACCATAATGCAATATAACCAGAAATAAATAACAAAATAATAAAACCCAAAGCCTCTTCCCCTTGGAAATTTAAAAATTCTATATTAAATAATTCTTGAGTAAAAGGGGAAATACAAACCAAAATTGCAGAGTTTCTAAAACAAAATGTTAACAAGAATGTTATATATCAGAATCTAAAAAACACAATTAAAGCAGTGATCAGTGGAAAAATCATAGCCTAAATATTTATATTAATAAAAATAAATGCATTAAATTCCCAATTCCGAAAGAAAAAGAACACCAAAGTAAACCAAAAGAAAGCAGAAGGAAAGAAATAATAAAATTAAAGGCAAAAATCAATGAAGTAGCAAATGGAAAAATAATAGAACCAATCAAAAATAATAAAAATGCTGGTTCTTTGGAAAAAAAGATGAAATTTTTTCCCTGTAGTAAATCTAATGGCAACGGACAGGGTGAATTGGTTCCCACTGGGAACAGGGCATAACCCAAAACAGTCTAAATCTAGAATAAATTACTTACAGTTTACTATCTTACAACTTCATCCAAGTTTCCCACTATATTCCATAATATCTCTCTTTGTTTTTTAATGTTAAAAAAATTGGTCTCCTTCACCCTCAAATCTTCAAGGAAAACTAATGCCCAAGGAAGATGTGCCATATACCCAACAGCTTTTTGGAGGCCCTGTCACATCGCTCTATATTGCTGGGTTTCAGGTACCCCAGTCTGAGAAGATCCCTTCAGTATCACAGAATGCACCCACCCAAGAGGTATAACATCACTGGTCTCCTCATTTTCCCAATGAAAAGATTAAGTCACAATGAAGTGAATTTTTTACGAAAGGCACCAAAATCAAGTAGTAACAGAGACGGAAGAATAATTCACCATCCACCATTATTCTCACATGGCCACTGGGCCCACTGGACAGTGCCCTAAACTTTATTGAAAGGATCTTCTAGAAAGGATTAGATATGTTTCCCATATAATTAATATGACTCCTTTCTCCCTCTAGCATTAAAACTGAGAGAAGATGACTCACTTCCTCTTTCAGAACACCTGAAGCAACAGTGAAAATCTTTTCAAAGAAGCATGGTACCAGTCCTCCTTCCAATCTTCATGTTCAAATTCTAATCGCAGTCAACTAATGTGGGTGGCAAGCAAGCTCCTTCAGCCCTGAGAACTCAGTGATTTGGAAGGAGACACTGTTGCTTCCAAGCTAGACAGAGAAAGTCACTTGCAGGTGGAACCGCAAAGTCAATAGGGAAGAGTGAGAGAAAATGACCACCAAAAATACCAACTGGAGGAAGCAGTTGATTGAGGGGCTCAAGGGGTTCAATGGACTGACAGCAACATTCTGCCTGGACACACACTAACTGCATTTTATATTACGACGTTGGTGCTGTCCAGGGCACAATACATGTACAAACCACAATGATACATTTTTCTCTCCTCATCAATAAATAGCACGTTCATCACGTATGGACATACCTCACATGTTTAAGAATGAAAAATGTTCACACAAGAAAAGATGGATTCCATGTATGGTAAACCCACTCGCAATGAACCCATTAGCAGAAAGCATTGGCAATTGTTGCATAATAGATCAAGATATCAGGTAGACTATAAAGAGCATCTTATGGTAGGTGAATGTCCTTGGGACAAATTGTCATTTGAAATTTATGTTTTTGTCTTTTGTTGGATAAATGTCCAACAGTAAAGTATCAAGGATATTTTATGTCTTTATTCAACGGAAGGTTTTAAAGTACAGTAGTGCCCCCTCATCCACAGGGCATACGTTCTAAGACTCCCACTAGATGCCTGAAACCTCGAATAGTACGGAAACCTAAATATGCTATGTTTTTCCCTGTACATACATACCTAGGATAAAGTTTAATTCATAAATTAGGCACAATAAGAGATTAACAACAATAACTGATAATAAAATAGAACAACTCTAACAATATACTGTAATAAAAGTCACTGTAGATCTTAGCAACCTCAGCATACGATTTTTTTCTCTTCCTTGTTAAGTCCAGAACTTTCTTTCACCTTTTCACTTAAAGGAAGCACTTTGGCATAAAGTAAAATTGGCGTTACTTGAACACAAGCACTGCGATGTCACGACGGTTGATCTGATAACCGAGACGGCTACAAAATGACTAACGGTCAGGTAGTGTATACAGTGTGGATCTGTTGGACAAAGGGATGACTCAGGTCCCGGGACGGATGGAGTGGGACCCCGTGAGAGTTCATCCAGCTACTCAGAACGGTGCACAATTTAAAACTTATGAATTGTTTATTTCTGGAATTTTCCATTTAATATTTTTGGTTGACCACGGGTAACTGAAACCGCAAAAAGCAAAACCGTGGATAAGGGGGGACTACTGTAATCTTGATTACAGAATTCCATAATCCAGTCTAAAATGGAAGAGTCATTATAATTTCTGTCCCCCGTTTTGTGAAGTGTAAAGAGCTTGAGGCTAGTCAGGCGTTCAGAGAATGCGCTCCCAGCTTGTAGTAACTTATCTGATTAACAGTACAAAGCGGAAATTATGTCGGCCACAGAGAGGGCAGTAAAAATGGAGCTCTACGGCACACTGAATCACGGGAATTAGGTGTGAGAAGAAAACCGAGCCCCTCCTGGTCCAGCTACAATGGACGTGATTACTAGATACTTCATGATCAAATGCAATTCAAGGGCAAGTTATCTAAAGCCTCCTCCAAGGAAAGTTAATGGGAAAATGCATTTCTTTCTGGTGTGTCCAGTTTGTTTCTTGACTCAGGCTTGCAAATTGCTCTCACTGATTTTTAGAAATATCTTGGTTCTTTTCACCCAGTCACTTCCATATGACACAGATCCACGGGGATACAGAGCTCAGGGAGAGCGAGATCCTTGATGTGGACGGCAGCTGCAGGCACTGGCCTCTTTCTATTACTGTGATGGACTGTCTGTTGCTGCATTCATTTTGGTTCAAAATTCACATGATGTTATTCTGAACTTGCAGGCCAAAAACAGCAACACAGGATCAATCCTCAAGTACAGATGTGCTAAACTGAATAGTCTCCTCATTTCAGGCATTGGAGGTTCTCTACTCTGAGAATGCTATGGCTGTGAATATCTTGTATTGCTTTAAGGATTTAATAGCTGCTGGGTGCTTCTGATTTTATTTTTTTTTTTTTTTTTTTTTTTTTTTTTTTTTTAAAGATTTTATTTATTTTATTTTTCCCCCCAAAGCCCCAGTGGATAGTTGTATGCCGTAGCTGCACATCCTTCTAGTTGCTGTATGCGGGACTCGGCCTCAGGATGAACGGAGAAGTGGTGCCTCGATGCGCACCCGGGATCCGAACCCGGGCCACCAGCATCGCAGCGCGCGCACTTAACCACCAAGCCACAGGGCCGGCCAAGGGTGCTTCTGATTTTAAAACTCACAAGGCTAGCCACAGCCTAGCAGATCACACTAACTGGAATCCATAGATGTTCAATAAATATATTTTTGGATGAATGGATAGCATGAAGATATTAAAATTCAAGGTAGTTCTGTGTATACAAGAGAGGATTCAACACTTCATAGGTTGTAATATTAATTCTGAATCTAAACAACAGCTATCACACTGCAGACCAAACTGAGAAGAGCCCTGGGATGTTTCTATAAGACTCCACACTGACAGAACTGCACGGTCTCCTCCAAGCTTCTGAGCACCAGCCATACCTCGAGAAGATCCATATATATTTTTTTTAATTGAAGTGTTAGTTTTATTTTAAGCCATTTTTTCTCATATGCACTTTAAGTTTTTAAAATCTAA